TCGGGGGGACATCAGAATTAGCCCTCTCTCCGATCCGATCCGCTGTTCACATGTGCAGACCCTCCCTTTGCATGGCTATTGCGCAGTGCCGTCACGACGCCCCGCAGTACAGCGTTCGGCCATCAATGCAGCTGGGAGGACGTCGCTGTTGCCATGTCTTGATTTGGATGTTGAATTAGGTGCTTAGGCCTCCAAGCGTGCAACCATGCGGGAACTATAATATGGAGGATGCGTGTTGAGGGAGAGTTTAGGGGCGTCTAGGCTTCCCAGCAGGGCGTGTCAGCTAATTACTCACTGCAGGTGTTCCCGTTCTCTGAAAGGCAGGGAATATGCATCTGCACATTACATGATCTTCGCCGCCAAACGGAAGGATCCTGTCTTACGCTGGGATGCTGTTAGCTTTGAAGAATTTGCTTGGGGGAGTTTGATTGAGAAGGATCATGAAGGATCTCTCGAAAGAACGATTTAGCAGTAGGGCGCAGTAGGCCCTGTAGCCCTGTAGTTACCCACCTGCCCGCTGAAATTTTGCAGCCAAACAAACCCGGCCGTACCAGCCCCCAGAAAATCTGCTGTTTTTTGAACCCGGAACCTGGTCAGCCATGGTCAGCTGAGCGCCCTTCTGCAAGGATCGTCACGCGGGCTGGCGAGAAGGTGGAATCTGACCGTCTCATATTGTCTCAGGTTTGTTCGGGTGGGTTAGCGGGATTTAGCGGGAAGGTCAGTTTAAGGTTGCAGGACGGCTGTTGGGTGCGAGGTGTATTCTTGATCCTTGCGTTTTTGGAGTCTGGACTGCAAAGCTGCATGTCTTCATTTCTCCCAGATTGACTCTTTGTGGAGCCTCTCCAGCTTCAGAATTTTTCATAGCGGAATGAGTTCTGAGTTTCCAGGAGGAAGGTATCCACACCGCAGCCTCACAAAGTCCATCGGCCAGGCCGCAGCCGCCCGTGGAGCTAACCATGGGAACGGCTCAGTGGCAGAATGTTTGACGATGCAGGCCAGAAACTGAGCTCACGCCGACCCCAAACATGGCAGTGGGGGGTGTTTTTTCAAGAAAGGCTAGGGCAAAGCTGCCGTGGTTCCGGTGGTGGTGGGAGGTTCTGTCTGCAACATCTGGAGCAAGCCAGACTTTCGACATGTGGCTCTAGATCTTGTGCAGCTGCAGTCGCCCTCGTTCATGAGGCATAAGTCGCGGAGTTCTAGAACCTGCAAAGCCGTGTGTAATACCTCCTGATTCAAACCTTCTTGTGAGTGAGAAGCACAACGTGCCTTTGACAGTGAAAACGGTTTCTGGATGATTCACCTTGCCTTCATCCCACGCGCGTTGCAGCAGCATCCCAGCAGGCCACAGGCAATAAACGAATGAAACCGATGCTTGGAGCCTCCCGAACCATGATTCTGGCGAGCCGCTGCTTGCATCATAGTTCTCGCAGTGTCGTTCTCTCAGGACCTGCAGTTTCCATGATCGCCCGATGCTCCACATGGGCGCCACTCTGATCCGAGACCTAAGCGCCTTTGCAGTGGGGCGCCTTTGTACAGCATCAGGCCCTGCTGCAGCTGGGAGCACGCAGTAGAGTGCACTTTCGGCGATGAAGTGAAGGACTTCGGCCCTGCTTCGGCCCTGCGAATACTTGCTGCCTGCAGGGTGAAGGTGCACGATGATGCACGTGCATTCGCAGCTTCCTGCCATGTCAAGATTGAGTGGCCTTGCTCGGAGGCAGGTATTCTGCAGTCTCGCGGATGCCTCAGTCTCACATCTAGTCTATGGTACATCGCATTGAAGGCTTGAGATGAAGCTTGCAAAGTACTTTCAAGACACTCAAGAAGCCTCGGCTTGCACGGCAATGGATCACAAATCCCAAATCAGATGCGACTGAATTCGAGGAGCAGAGTTGCGGGTACAAACGATGCGTTGTCGCCTTGTCTGCTCTTGTCATGGGACCCACGGAGCGCATTTTGGAAGCTTGAAGTACCCTTGGACGACCCACAACCTGATGTCCAAGACCGGAAGGCCCTCGTTCCCTCGTTCAAGAATCCTGTCACCGCAAATGCTTCCATTTTTTCATCTTGCATACTAAGCCGTGCTTCTGATTAATAGGGGGGGCTCCCGCCCTCCCTCTCCGCCCCCGAGAATAGAAAAAGGGGTCATATGGTTTCCCGGGCTGGGGGGCGGGGTGGGGGACGTGGGTGGAAAGGGGCTGTCCTCTTGTGTCCTTTTCCGCTCCTCTTCTTCCTCTTTTTCCTCTTCTTGGATTTTTTCCTTCTTGGAAGCTTATCCTCTTATCTGTGCTTGCTTAAGCAATTCAAAGTCTCTGTGCTTATCATCATCGAGGGCCCGCGGGGCTTTCCATTATTTTTGGGGGTTTATTAATCCCAAACTCTGGCCCCGTAAGGGGAGGTTAGGAGCGAATGATTTGGGCATCGATCTTAGATGCAAAGTAGTGAGGAACCGCAGTTTTCTGCTGCAGCCTCCAACTCCAAAACAATCCGACAGCACGTCGTATTTTTACTTGAGCAAGTCAAAATCTCTGCGCTACTCCAAAAATAGGAGAGCACGTGGGCCGTTGCTTACTTCAGCCTTGAGCAAGTCAAACTCTCTGTGTTTATCGTGGTGGGTCCAGTAATTTAGGGGGTTCCCAAACCACCGGTTAGGTTGGTCTGGGGTTTGGGTCTCACCTTGGGCTGCAGGTTTTCACTTGTTGTTCTATTAAATTCTGAGGCTGCGAGTTCCGTCGCCATTTTGGCAAAAGAGCGATCGAACCCGCAGCCGGACTGAAGTCATGTCTAGTATGCAAGATGAGAAAATGGCAACATCTTGGGTGAGGATTTTTGACCGAGGAAACCAGAGCCTTTGGTGACTTCACGTGCGCGGCAGATGTTGACTGTGTGATGCCCGAACGAAGAACGTGGCGCAGGATTTCGGTCGGGGAAGTCGCTCCTCGCAGTGTAGCGCCATTTGACACACTCGTGAGCACACAGCCGTGTCGATTTTTCGTTGGCTCGGGACCGCAAATTCCACTTCATCAAGGCTGCAGGGTAGCTTCGGATTCGTCATGTCTGGGAGTAGGTTCGGTGAGGGTGTAAGGTTGAGGGTTTGGGGTTTACACCATCCTCATCCTAAGTCACTCAAAGAGCAAAACTTTCATGCACTTCAGACCGCACAGTTCTCGGGTAGCATGCGAAAATGGACTTTGGAATCGCCCGTGTCATGGGCCACACGGATCGCTGCCACGAGTTTGGCGACTTGGTCGGCTCGCGGTGGTTTGCTGGAGGATCCTGAAAGTTCCTGTGTAATCTCAACACTCAGAGAAGAACCCAGTGGCCTTTTGTTGTAGTGGCAAGTAGTTCGGTTTGGAGGGTTGGCCGGATGTTTGATGCTGCGGGATGGAGATGTTTAGGACACAAACGGCTTATAGGAACCCGTTCTCAATCAGGCCATGCCACAGAACCCAGCTTCGGTTATGAGAGGTATCCCGAACAAAATATCTTGAGAATCTGTAGGTTTGTATAGAGGTGTGTAGTTGTTGTGGGAAGTTGTGGGAAGTTGTGGGAGGACATCTGCCCGTCAGACTTGAGCTGCTTCAGCAGCCCAGACGAGCGATCGGACTGCTTTGCCGGGAAGACATCATCTCGGTGCTGTAGGCCGCTGTAGGCATTTTGGGGATTCTGCTCTTTACAAAGTCTACGGGGCACTTCAATCTTGGAGACTTGGACTTGAAGGAAGCTCTGGAACAAGGGTTGACCGCCTTGTGTCAGGGCCTCGCAGCTCCTTCAACGACTGCACCAGCTGGACACCTACTCCGAAAGCTTTGTGCAGCCAGCACTTTGGCTTGCGCAGGCTAAGCAAGCAAACCTTTTGATTTCTGACGTCGAACTCTGACCTTGTTCCAGCATTCAGGCACAAACATTGAAGAGCGGGGCTTGTATGCGCTACCGGGCATCCCATGTTGAGGCACCGCTGAAACCTCGAAAGAAGAGCAACCCGAAACAGTTCGAAAGACGAACAGCATCGACCCAAAACCTAACCGCAAACTACCCCCTACAAGCCCTGATCTCCGAAGTACAAGGATGAGGTGCTGGACCTGTGCTTGGAGTTCCTGCGGCTGCCTGCAGGACCTTTCTAGTGATTCGGGTTTGGGTGGGAGATGCTGTGAGATGGTGTGAGGGCGTTGGGATGTATTCGGGCTTGGAATCCATAAGGCTGGAAGCGTTTGCGGGCTGCACAGGCCGCGTCTCCCAGCAACGGAAAGATAGGAAACCATCTTTGCTTGGCCGGGGGTGGGCTTCGGGCTATCTGTAGCTGGCCTTGCCCTGACTTGTGGCAGGATCCGGTCCTGCAGACTCATTGGAGGAAACACTTACAACATGTTCAAGAGCCATGCTGGGCATGGCCAGGACTGCCAAAGTCGCGCTTTGCCTGTGTTTGAGAGGGACTTGTGTGGAGGGTTGCTTCGTTTGCTTGATAGTCGGGGTTTCCTTGGACTTGGGGTTGCCCGGGGATCCGGGGCCTGATGGCTGTGAAGCTTCAGCTTGCGAGCTACATTAGCTACATCCTGCTACATTGATTCCTGCCACTGCCAGCTGCCATCCGCTACATTTATGGATTCTTCCTGTAAGGCGCTTGCTCGCTCAGAGCCGGGGAGCAACGCGACATGTTCAACTGCGTCTGTGATCGCGCGGTATCCATCGATTATTGACGAGGACTGGTACAAGTAGTAGCAATTCAAGACAGAGAGCTTTGGGGAGTAGGAACCCACAGCTGCAAACTTCGAATGGCCCATGGACCGTTCCGGCGTCCTCCTAGTAGCCTATAGTACAGGCAGGCCTAAGCAGGTATCGCCTGAATCCTGAGAAGCCTCTTAGGCCCGAACCCTGCTGCAACCCTGTAGCTTCTAGCGATGTTAACCCTACCTACAAGTACATGAGACGATGAACCTCTTAGCTGAACAGCCTAAAGCCCTCAATGCCTCGTTGCAGGAGAGGTTTGAGCAGATCCGGACTCGTCAAGTCTGGCAAGCCATTCGGGCACCGCTGGAGAGCTTCAGGCTGCTGAAGTCCCTGGCAAACCACACGGCCCAGTGCAAGAGGCCGGAGCAGGATGTGTGTCTGTGGGTTGTTTTTCTCGGCTAATCGGTCCATAGAGTTGAAGATTCCGGGGGTTTAGGGCTAGCTCCATTCATGCATGCTGCAAGTATGGGTTTCCAGGTGGAGCGGCTTGGTGTAGGCGGTTCTGTGCCCCGGTCTTATTTGTGTTCGCATCCGAGCTGACTGAAATCCCCGAAAACTTTAGGGCCAGAGGCCTTTAGCGGCTCTTTGAGTCACCGTCCTTGGAAACGAGGCTCGGCCGCTGTGCAGTCTTCAACTTCTGGGAGCCTGGGGCATGCTACGAGCATCATCCACTCATCCGGTCTTTCTCCCCCTCCTGCACCTGGCCTGGAGTTGTATGCAAACAACTTGTTCACAAGCCTTGCGGGGAGTCAAGAAAAGCTAGCCAGGTCTGAGGGCTGTGCCTTTCACTCAATACGTGGCGCACGCGCTGCACCTCCCCGTGCACTTGCTTACTTCTGCACAGGACAGCTTACTTGTTTTCCCTCTAACTTAAGCCTGTGCAGAATGGGGAGGTGCTCTTGCTTCTCGTGAAGGGCTGAGAATACACCACGCAGACCTGAGTTGAAGACCTGTGCGACGACTATCACATGTATCTGCATGCATATGTAGGTATCTTAATTATGCTTAAATTATTTTACCAGTAGTCTTTTCTGCATGATATATAAATATATAAATATATATATATAGAGACCTGACTTTATACAAAGCTTGTAAAGACACACATGCACTTGAACTTCTGAAAACTATCACGGTGTCCAATGGAACTCCTAAAAAGCAATCTCGGTTTTAGGGTCTTTCCAGAATTGCTCTTTTTTTTGCTCCATAATGATTCGGAGCTACGGGGAACACGATGGCCTTTTGGCACGCTTCCCCCAAGCCCCCCCCCCCACCCCGAAATGATAGGTTTTAGTCTGGCAGTTCATGGCTGTGCTGGTATTGTTGCCCTCCGTGTTTGCGAGGCTCCAGTGCTCCACCGGCACTTGGACCACGGAGGCTGACACGTCCGGCAAAGGGAAGGTCGACGGATTGGCTGGGCAACCACGACTGGCGGCTTGGCGCAGTGTATTAGAATAAAAGATTGCTTACAGGCTTCGGTCTCAAAAGGTGAATTGAGGAACCAGGAATCTCCGCAGTTCAAAATCGCCTGGACCGGCCTAGACCCACCAGCGTATGATTATTTTTACGGCAGCTCTCATTTTGTCAAGTGTGTTGAGAACTTTGTGATGCTCTTCGTCAAATTGTTATATCTGTTCGGTGCTGTCGGTTCTGCATCTAAGTCATTGGCGGCAGCTTCGGACAGAAATTGTGTAGCCTTTCTATCTTGAACCGGCCCGGCAGACCTTAACCCCCAAGGCCGCTCAATCTGTGTCTGTCCAGGTGCCATGACGGCCCGCAAGCGCAGCTGGAGCTAACACGCGTTTTGGAGCGGCCAGGCTATACAAGTCACAAGTTGTTGGGCAGTAGAGGGGGAGGGCTGGGGAGGGGAGACGGGGGCGGGGGACGGGGGCGGGGGACGGGGGGGATGGTCTTCGAATGAACGCTGGTAGACCCCCCAAACACGGAGCGCTCCAACAACACCGGACCTGTGAAAGGTGCCGTGGCTTGATCTGGGGCCCGCTGCCGGGCGAGGACACTGAACCTTTACATCTCGTCAATGCTGACGTTGAAGACAGATCACCGTGCTCGTGCTTTCATTCCTGATGTTGAGTATTGCTACTGTTCGTGTTATTGTTGTTTGTTATGCTACCGGACTTGTTCGAGTTCTGGGTTGTTCGGTTTGGGGTTGCCATCGATCTTGCTGCCGTCGTGGTTGCTGTGGTGCTTGTGCTTGCGCTTCCGCTTTGCGTTTTGTTGCCGTCATTGTTGGTTAGGGCCTTTGCTGTGAACCTGCTGCTTTGGAGGGGGAGGGAGGTTTGGAAGGCCCAATTCTGCCCAGGTCGTAGGCCCCATGTCGGTGCCGAACGCTTCTTCTACTGGTACTAATGTAAGTGCGGGCACCGTGGTTTTGGGGAGCCAGTCGTCTGCAGCCCCCAAAAAGTCCTTAAACTGAAACACACTTCGGCTTTAAATCTTTCACACTTTAAGTTTTCAAACGTTTGAACCGCCTGAAAATCCCTTCGGGATGTCTGAAAACCCGAAACCATGGAGCTGTTTGAGTTTGAAGATCTTAAAGGCCGTCATGCCATTCAACTCCTACTTCAAACCTTCAAAATCAAAAATGACAAAAACGGACCTGAAGCGCGTGGAAACCATTTAACACTATTTATCCTGCAGCATCTTTACATTCCAAAATGTGGATATCTTTCGGCTTGTAAGTTGAACTTTTAAAGGCTCTCAAGGCTAACCGATCTCCGAAAACCCTTTAGCCATGAGTGTTTTCTTGTTGCAGTTGTTTAAGGGTTCAAATGGGATCGAAATGCTTAGCTTCATCAAGCAGGACTACTTCGAGACCATCTCACTTCTGCAAGCTGTGACGTCGGCTTCTGATTCGATGGTCCTTGTGGAGGTGGATATCGGAAGTAGCAGTAGCGCAGACAAATTTGGAGGCTGGGCTCCAAGAATTGATGGGTTCATGAGATCTGACATGGCACGGGGTTCAAGATGTTTTTGGTCCTTTGCTTCGCTATATACGCGGCTGCTTCAGCAAAATTACCATGAGGTTGTAAAGTAATACACTGACTGCGATATCCAACCTATCAGACTACAATAGTCGCGACCAAATGTAGGGGATCATTGGCTGGGCCAGATGTTGGACGTTCGAAGGGGATTCGAGGAAACCTCTCCCACCTTCGCAAAGGATTCGTGCCATTAACCCCATTCCCTTATCGCAGAACTCCCATTTCCCTTCAGTTAGCCTTCACTGTGGCAACCTAGTGCCCATGCAGTCTGGCACTCCTTCTGGGACCCAAAGATTCCCTGCAAAAACGCAGAGCAGCCTCGAAAAACTCGGAACTCAGCCCTTGCTGGCCAGCCAGGTGGGCTCGAACACCGGTTACTGGAGCTTGAAGGGCGCCAAGGTGCTTTTGTCTCCGGCGCATGAATCAAGCACAACTTCATGAGACTAAAAACCTTCAACGACCAACAAGCATTCTTCGGGCGCCCAGAACGATATAGTTGTTACGGGGTGAAAAGGACCCAGCGAAACACATTGTAATCGGGGTGTTCGTAAAGAGCGCTCGTTCACTTCTTGCTTTCACTTCTTCACTCACTCGTGCATGTGCTCGTCTACTCGCAATTTTTACTCAGTGAACATTATGTAAGCGCGCGTCATTGTTCCTTGCCTTTCAGAATGATACGACTGTTCCTTTTGACCCTGCGCTTGGAGACGGAGATAGAAGCCTCGTGCATCTAGTTCCAGCGCCAGCGGTAAGACTCATGAAAAGACGAGCATTCTCCGGAGCAGGCGTTAACAGGGTTTGAAGGTGTACTTTTTGGCGAACAAGAGCACGAGCATACGTGGGGGTGCCCCTGGTACCGTGCCCCAGCAAGTCCTCAAACCCTGCCAGACCCAGAGGCCTTCAGACGTCTTTTCCCGGACAGCGGCAGCTGTACCCTCGTTCTGATTGAGCGGCCAGTCTGAAGTGATTGAAGGACCTTGAAAGTCGAACAGTCTACCATTGTTGCCTTCCATTGCGCTTTTGCCTGGAGCGACAGCTTCCTTTCACATTATCCCGATATTTCCTGATTGAGTTCTAGTTCTCCTGAACATCAGTCAGGGAAGCCTCAGGTGGATACTGCCAATTGACCGTGCAGCTGCACACCTGAACGACAACGACATCTACAGCCTCTGCAATGTCAGCCTGCACCAGGCACCTGGAGAATCTTCCGAACCATGCCCTTTCAGTCTAAACCAACAGCAACTGAGCCATGGCCTGAAACCTCATTGCCTGGTCGCTAGATTCCAGCTAGGGAAGTTTCCTTATCGTAGTGGGTTTATCGCTTGGTGGAAGGCGCCAGCAACGCCCGAGCTGTTGGATGGGCTCTTCCAAACCTTTGGGAAGATCGACCTGGTGAATGTGGACGTACAGAAGGATTCCGGGGAGGGGGGATTAGCCGCTTCAGGCCTATCCGATGAGTCAGCAAACGTCAGGGATGCCATGCCAAGTGCAGATCCCCACCACAAAGCGGGTGCCCACAATGCAGCTTTGGCCACCCCAAGACAGTTTGTTGACGTCCCTTTGGGGGGCCTCTCTCAAGCATCTTGGGGACGAAAAATCAAAAAGGAGTGACTTAGTCGCCCTTGCCCACGGGAGGTGGAGCTGTCCTTAATCATGGGGAGTGCCTTGCTGCTGATGCTTGGAAGATCATTGGGAGCAGGGGCCGAGGTGTTTGATGAAGTGTTCGGAACCACTTTCGCTTCGCTGCAGCTGTGGCCTGTAACATCCCGTAATCCAGCGAAAGTACCTCCCATTACTTTAGATTCTCAACAACCTGCAGCCCAGGAACGCCCGGCACCTGCATGTTGGAACTCACTCGCGGATCATCCACCGCCATCTTCTGTCCATGCTGAATTCCCGCGGCTTTGAGATCGACTTCGACTACATGCCATTGCGCCTCGCCTCCTAAGATGGCTGCTGCCAGCAACTGCGAATCAGCCGTGACTTCGGCAATCTCCATCCTGAACGGCCCAAACTCAGCTCCTGTCGATCCGCTGAGGACCTTCGTTCGGACGCCCTACGGCCCAGTCGCTTTCGATGATGCTGGGCTTCCAAGTGGTAAGTTTTCTTTTGCTTCAGTACTCCATGCTTGGATGGTTGACTGCATCCACCAGTACTTCACATAAAATTAACAGCTCATCATCGTCATCGTCAAAATAAATTTCATCTCCCAAGCATCAGCAGCAGCTCCACAATCACCACTGTCAGCACGCAGCACAACTGTACATGCTGGCTTT